GGTAACGGGATCGCAACCCTCGGTGTTGCACCCGTACTGGGGACCGGCAACGGGATCGCAATCCTCGGTGTTGCACCCGCACCGCGCTCAGCCAGTGAGCGGGAATCAGTCTCCACATGGGATCCGAACCCTCGGCGGGAGCACCGCCACACTCCCAAGCGGCGCACTCTCCAGAGCGCCAATGGGCCGGCCCAGAAAGGAGAGATTTTCAAAGTAAAGGGAAGAGCACATGAAAGTCACAGGGGGAGAAGTTGTACAGAGGGCACTGAGGTGATCCTGTTGATCACAAAGTCAGAGTTAACCAGGTGCCTCCTTGCAGCAGCCTCAGCTCTGGGCTTAGCTGTGGCAGGCCTGACAGTTGATGTGCTGCCAGCAAATCCCAGAGAAACTTATAAGTCACCAACCTGGGGAGGTCCTCATGTATCTGCCTTGCTCTTATGATTTTGCTGTGAGAGGCAGCCCATGGGTATTGGTGTGATGAGGGTAATGGGGGAATATAGGACTGGGTGTTTTTAAATTCAATAAAATACTTTTACATGTTGACTGTAACAGACAAGAATGGTAGATATAAGATACACACTGTTATGTGAAAAGGAAAATATTTTTTAAATGCACTTTTAAAAATGTCATTTCCTTTTCATCCATCCTAGGTTCTTAATAATGTGCTCATCTGTATACCAACATTTAATATACACTTTCTTTGGTATTGTGATTGGATGTGGAGAAATCAAATATTTTACATTTCACACTGTAGTTTTCGTATTCATCTTATTGGCAACAGTAAATTTTGTAAGGTAAGAATTATATTTTAAAATTTGTTTACTGAACTTAGGTTCTCAAGCCCAGAATTAGAGTTGGGAAACGGTGGTGTGTAGCAAAAAAAGCTCTGGTCATGGAGTCAGGAAACTGGGACCGCTGCTGGGGCCTTGACGATAGCTGGCTGTGCAACTTGGGGAAAATGTTTATTTTTCAAGGTTTCTTCTGTAACAGGAGAGGGGTAGACCAGGAGCCTCAGCCTCACCCATGAGCTTGATAGAAATGCAAATTCATGGGCCCATCCCAGCCTACTGAATTGAATCTCTGGAGATGAGGTCCAGAAAGTTTTCACATGCTCCCTAGGTGGTTCTTGTATATGTTAAAGTTTGAACACCACTGGACCAGATTAATGGCTCTTAACATTTTTGTTGACTTTCATCATTTATTATCATCAATTGCTATGACAAAGCCATTTATTAGGTATTATCATGTACAATATGATATTAACATGACTATAACCCTGTGAGGTAGGTGTTATTGCATCATTTCACAGATGAAGCCCAGAGAGCTTAAGTCAGAGTTGAGATTTAAACCTGACTCCATGAGTGTGCTGCTTCTAGAATGCCACTGCCCACTCATGGTAGTTGTGTTTTCCGTAAGAATTCACAACAATGTCATTTCCACTCAGGATACTGGCCAAGGAGTTTGCCTTATAAAATGTTCTCAAGGAACGTGGCTAGTACTGACTCCAAAGGCACTGCTTGCAACTCAGATAGTCACTCGCACCCAGAAGGATGTGCACACAGTCCCGCGCCTGCCCCACCCCGTCCACACTGGACCTACCATTGGTGCCCGCCTGCTGTCCCATGCACCTGTCGAATCAGTAGCCATCTTATCATCTTTTCTCTAGCTCTCTGTCTGGACCTGTTATAAAATCAATTTGAAGTCAGTTATTGCTCTCTATTGTAATCTGTGTGTTTATGTTTATTTCTGGGTTCGAATTCCATCTCCTACACTTGTTAGTGTATGACTATGTGGCTTACTCCCATCTGTAGAATGGGTATGATAATAGAATTATCTCACAGGGTTGCTATGAAGATTATATGAGGTGATGCAAGGACAAGAATTTAGCCCTGTGCCTGGCACATAGTAAATGCTCAGTAAAGTTAGTTTTTATTATTATTAGAGCTATCCTTTTTTTCTCTAGATGAGAAAGAACTTTTGAAGCTTCAAAGCAATGAAATAATTCCCAAAAGAAATTATTAGTAGATTTTAAAACAAATAAAATTTAATAAAATTAAAACACAAAAACAAGCCACCATATTGGCTTATTCCTTCAACAGGTATTTTTCGAGCATCTACTAAATGCCGGGCATTGTTCTGGGTGCTTCTTAAAGTTTGTCCACATCGATGGACAAAGCCCTAAAAGACGAATGTTTCTGCCATCACGGAGTTTACGTTATAATGGAGCTTTCCAAAAAACCCCAAAGTATGAATATAATATACTAGAAAGTGATAAAGACTATGAAAAATAAATAAAGCAGGCTGAGGGGATTGGTTGTGCCGGCAGTGGATAGTGGGTTGCATTTTAAATAGGGTGGTCAGTGTAGGCCTCCCGGAGAAAGTGACATCTGAGTGACGATGTAAAAGAGGTGAGGGAGCCAGGCAGAGAGCAAGGGGAAAGCTTTTTGGGGCAGAGACTCATGAGTGTGCTGCCCCAAGGGAGGGGCCGGCCTGGCCTGTGCAAGACACAGCAAGGAGGCTTTGGTCCTTGGAGAGAGGGGACAGCAGGAGATGAGGTTAGAGGGGGTAATTATGAAAAAAATAAGAGAGAAGACCCATCCATGAATGCTTTTATAGGCTAAGAAAACACCAAGAAGGAGAGACATCAACCACTTGACTGATTACTGTCCTCTGGGGAATGGGGTTTGTGGAAGGGGAATAAAGACAGGGCATTCTGGCTTTTAAAAATTTTACACACTTCCTTTTTAAAACTACTATCATTCAAAAAATATTTTTAAATGACACATACTAATTGTACATACTTATGGAGTACAGTGTGATATTTTGGTACATGTACAGAATGTGTAATGATCAAATCAGGATAGTTAGCACAACCATCACCTCAAACATTTATCATTTATTTGTGCTGGGAATAATCAAAATCCCCTCTTCTAGCTATTTGAAAATATACAATAAATTGTTAATTATAGTCACTTATGGTGCTATAGAACACTAGAACTTATTTCTCCTATCTAGCTGTAATTTTTATATACTTCTTTACTATTTGAAATTTTTTCAGTATTCATGCATTGCTTTTATAATTTAAAACAAAAATAAAATAATCGAAACCCCAATTCATACAAATCTATAAGAAAAATAACCAGATCTCCAATAGATTTATTTACTACAGGTATGACAAGTTCATAAAAGAGGAAATACAATGGCTAAAGTATTTTTAAATTTCAAACTCACTAGAAATTAAACAAATAAAATGAAAAGTGGTCCCATTTTTCAGCCATAGAATCAGGGGTTTCTAAAAACCATAAGTTTGGCTCTGGGAGGGTGTGATGAGAAGGACACACCCAGACACTGAGACTGCCCCCCTCACTGTCCACCTCAAATGCCCCCCTGTCCCTTGGTCTCTTCACTCCAGACATTCAGGACTTCTTTAAGTCCCTTAGACACTTGTCCCTTCAGGCCCCTCCAAAGCTGACCTCCCTGCTGTCCTTTATCCTTGCTCCTGGTGCTTATTTATCCTTGAGATGTCAGAATAAAGGACACTTCCCAAGGAAAAGCCTCACTGCTCCTACCCGTCACCCACCACCAGGGTAGGCGCTGCTCAGCCTCCATCTTCAGCACCATGTGATTCTCCCGGGTAGCAGTTACTGCGAGTACTACAGAATACTTACTTGCATGATTAGTGACTTAAATGTTTGTCTCCCAGTGTAATGTAATTCTTGAGAGCAGGGATCAGCTGTCTTGATCTCTACAACATCCTTAGATTCTGGAATCGAATTTTTATACATATTTGTTGAATGATTAAATATTTATCAAGAATCTTATAAAAGTTCATATGCTTTGTCTAGATATAAATTAAAAATGTGGACAATGTACTCATCAAATTGTATACACTAAGTATGCACAGATTTTTGTATGTTAATTATACCTTAATAATGCTGCTAACATTTTTAAAAAATGTGGACAATGATTTATTTAAAAGTTCTTCATTGGAGTGATATTTATAGTGATGAAAAGTTAGAAACAGCCAAAATGTCCAACTACTGAAGGGTGAGAATTGTGGACAAGAGAATCTTTCAATTTCTTTTTATAAAATCACTTACCCTTCATATGCCTATTTTTAAGACTAGTAGAAAATTGTTGCTAAGCTGTTAATAGACTCCACCATGTGGAAAAACTTGAAAGAGCATTTAAAATTAATAGCTTTTTAAGAGAGCTACAAATTTGTGAGATTATTTGCATTTTCGATAATCAGAAAAAAATGATGAAACATTAAAAAATATTTTAAAAATATTCAGACATCAGGATTTGGCTTTGATGAGATACAAAATTGGAAATGAATTTCCACCTTGACAAAGATTAATTTGGCCTGTTCAATGTTAAAGTCAATGCTTCTAGGGAGCTCTGAATTTTCTTCAATAGCCGTTGGGCACCTGGTCAGTTTCTGACTTGGACAGTGACATGTATGACCTGAATGAATTTTTTGCCCTGTAGCATTGTAATGGGCACATAATTTACTACGTATTATAACAGTGCCCAGATCTTAGTACTCTAGAATTGGCTTTACTGTATGACTGTGAGTGGAACTCTGGTGTATTTACCGTACATACAGTGAAGTTAATTTATTTCAATCCAGTGACTTCTCAGGTCAGTTCAGGATTATTAGGTTAGGTACAGTCTAGTATGTGTATGTGTGTGCAACCTCTGATATTGTTCGTTTTCAACCTTTGGGTTGGCACTAAATGTGATGGGGGCAGGGTGGACAGGATCCCTTATGTGATCGGTCAGTCTTTGCGGGAATGGGTGGGAGCAGCTGATCTTGTTCATGTGTGATTGGCCAATCATGATGGCAATGAAAGGGATCAGTGATCTTTTTGTCTGGCCAGTCTTGTTCTGGAACCAGTAGCTGATGTCCTTGAAGGCGGTTCCCTGGACAGGGGCTCTGGTCAAGACTCTATTATATCAAACTCCCTCAGGTTGGTGATACTTCTGAGAGATGTTAGACTTCCCATCCATATTCCAGTCATCAGCAGGACCCCACACTTCTCTGACAAGCTTCCCTCACCTTGAAGGACTCTAGACCTCTAGGAATTCTTCAGGCTTTCAACTTTAGTGGGAAAACGGCATGTCAGTCACCTCTGCTCACAACTGGGGAGTGTCCTCCCATCTTCTGTCTCCCTTCCTCCTCCCAAACCTCTCAAATTGAAGGTAGCATAAAGACACTGTCTCCTAGCAACTTTTTAATCTGGGGGCAGAGGACAGTGGTTCTGACTTGGAGGTAAGGTCTGGGGGCCCAGTAGTCAGTCTCAACCCAACCCATCCTCTTACCAGGTTCTTGACTCTGCCACAGGAAAGAATTCAAGAGCAGAGTCACAGCAGAGAGTGAAAACAGGTTTAATGTAACAGGTGAGAAATACAGGTTCCACAGAAAGAATGCGGCATAGCTCCAGAGACTGGGCAGGGCCCACACCAAGTTTAACACAAAAGCAGAAAATACACACTTAAAGTTCAGTACAGAGAGCAGGCTGGCTCAAGAGAGTGAGCAGCTGTTTGCTGAATGTAAGTTTGATACAAAAAGAAAGAAATGCGCACTCCACAGGCACAGCGCTGGCTGGCTCCAGCAGAGTGAGCACCAGCCCCACCTTCTGCTGGGATTGGCTTTTATAGTGTCTCTACCTAATGAATATTCAATTAAGGAGGTGGTTCCCAGTTATGTAACGTTAGTCTTGCACATGCTCAGTTGGTCTCCTTTTGGAGCATGTTCATTGGTCAAATCCTGTCACATGAACCAGGCATATTCAAGAATATTCCGTGCTCTCTAGCCCCTCTGGTGGAAGGTCAAGCAGAGGATAAACTCCACTTTACTGAGCATGTCTGGCCATCGGCATTAATAACTCCTCTGTAGTGAGCATGCCCAGCCACTGGATTTGCATAAGCCAGCCCCTTGTGGTCTCATTTTCCCTTTGTCCCGTGCTGAAAATAGGTCTAACTATCAACATTAACTTTCCTCCAGGGGAGGGTCTGGAGGAGGGACCTGAGACCTTGGAGAATGGCTTGAAACCACCGAGGTGTGTCCTGAAACCCAAACCCAGGGAAACTGAGCACCTCCTATTTCAGTTCAGTCAGTTCTGCTTCCAGGTCTCTTGGTCGAACAGCTATGCAAACTTGCCTTAAAAAATAAATGGTCTTTGAACTTAGAAACCAAAGAATGTGGTTCTGGTTTCTGGTGATATCCCTCACCCTCACCTCCATCCCAGGCAAACAGTAACCCCATGTCTCTTTGTCTAAAAAGGGGTGACTGTATGAACACAGTAGGACTTGCTGTTTAAAGTCTCAAGGGCCATAGAGATGAGCAAAACACAGTACTTCTCAAGAAGTTTACTGTCTAATGGGAGGAATAATAAAAGTATGCAAATAATTATAACACAAGGAAAGATCATCTTCATAAGTGAGGCTTAAGTAATGTGTTATGGGGCTTCATAGCTAGTTGTGGGGATCTGTAGAATGCCGATTCTGTGCTAGATTTACATATTCAAAGGAGTTATAGATTGGGTTTCTTGGAAACAGATTCTGAGAGGGAGAGTTGGGAGATTTGTAGGCAGAAGGTTTATTGGGCAAGTTAGGAAGGCAGGATTGGGCAGAGGGAGAAGCGGACCCTCAGCACAATTTCGGCTGAGGCCTCAGCTCATCTATGGAGAGCTGTTGAGATGGGAGAGCCCTTCAGAGCCATCCTATATTGAGACAAGGGGATGGGCCTTTGTATCCTTTCATTATGCAGTTGTTGGCCAAGGGCTGTCCCTTGAGAGAGGAACAAGTCTGAGGGGGGCTGTTTCCTGTGGCCCAGGGCAATGCGCAGTGAGGGCCAGAGCCATGACTTAGATCCTGAAATTCCTATCAGTTAAGGGCTGGGTATGTCAGCTCTGAAAATGGTTCCCAGGTGGAACAACACAATATCCACTACGAAAGGGGGTGCTCTGTCTGTAATATGCTAATATGTTTTTTTGTGTGTTGTCGCATTTCTTCATATATGACCTTTCTTTCACACAACCAAAAGAAGGAGGATTAAGGTTTTATTACAGAATGACAAAATAAAAAAAATGGTCTGTGTTCAGATTTTGACTTTCAAATATTTTTGAAATGCCCACAAAGAGGTAACGGTTCTGAAAGCCAGGCTTTGCTGAAGAATAAAATACTTTGCTAAATTCTGAAAGTACTTTTGTTCTTATCAAGAGACAAACATGGTAGATTAGGATTATATGTTTTTATTTTAAGCCCTAGATAGATAAGTTTAGATAATAGAGGATATAACAAACAGGAAGTGGAAGAGCCATTGCTGAAAAGAGAGAGATTAGAGGGGCTGAGACTAGGGGCAGGGTGCCACTTCACACCCACCCCTCCCCCACCCCCACTTCCTGTTTGGAACTTCGAGAAAACATAAGCCTCAGAGGGTGGGCATGGGCCAGTGTGGGGCTGATGCTACTGAGCAGAAATAGTGGGTTGGCATATGGAAGTAAAGAGTAGGACTGAGATAGTGCCTTTGGTCCTTACTTAATCCTGATGTGACGTGGAAGGGATTCAAGTTCTTTTCTCCTTTGTGGGGAATTCAGAAGATATTTAGTGAGTTTGCCAGAGGGGGCCACCAAAGTGACTCTGTGTTTGGGGGCTTCATGGGAGACTATCCAAATCTAGAGTCAAATAGGAGTGGCAGCAGACCTCAAGGGCTTTGCAGTGTTGGCAGGGTGTGGTGGGGATCTAGTTGGCAGGGGAGTCAGGCAATCAGAACAATCATCATGTCCTGGCCTTGCTGAGAAAAACAGAGCAAGGATACTTCCCAGTGGATGTGTCGAGAACAGGGGCTAAAGGCCAAACACAAGTAGCTTAAGATGCCTGAACCAATAGACAGCTCTCTGCAGCCTTTCCCCTGATGCCATGAGTTATGTTAATTTCCTCCTACACCCAGACTCCCTTTTGGGAAGGCAGGGCAGGGGTAAACATCTTGAGAAATGGGAGAAACTGCTCTTTATGGGGAACTTTGAATTGACTATTTGCACAAGCAATACCAAGTTAAACGTGAAGAATCTTTTAATTGAGAAGAGACTAAGTTATTTAATTTGAAAATTTACATTTCCTTTCTACCATGGGAGCTCATGTGCAAGCTGAAATTAGTCATAGGGCATAAAGATAAAAGACTTTTTGTACATTGTTTGACTCAGCTGTACATTCATTATCTCATTTCATCTTCGTAACGACACCAGGAGATGTGAATTATTATCTCCATTTTATAGAGGAAGAAATTGGTTAAGAAAAGCTACGTACCTTGCCCAAGGTCCAATGGCTAGTGAGTGCCAGAGATCTTGCTGATCTTGACTCTGGCTCACTAGAGGAAAGGCTTTAATGGAGGGATCCATCCTTAAGTGGGCCCTCAAATTATGGGAAGGCTTTCTGTAGAGACTTACTGAGAAAAACATTTCAGATGGGATGAACCAAGACAAAGAGATGGGAAAGCATGGATATAATAACCATTGCTGATTGTATATTATGTATTGATACATAATTATATTGTGTAATTATGATTATGTATTGATCATGCATCGAGTGCTGACCATATACAAAGCATCACTCTAAGCCCTGTATGACTGTTGCCTCATTAAACTGAATCCTCTCAATAATCCTTTGAGGCAAGTACAATTATTATTATCCTCTTCATTTTACAGATGAAGAAACTGAGACGCAGAGAGGTTAAATAACTTGTTTAAGTTTATGTGGTTACTAAAAATTAAGCCTAAATTTAACCCAGGTTGGCTGACTCCAGAGTCTTTGCTATAATGCCTTCCTGTTTTTTAATATTAGGATCTGACATAAGTTGTTATATTTTGGCTGGACTCAGTGATATTTTAGGGAAAGCAAGGCTGAAAAAGGTTGGTAAGAATCACTTTGCAAAAGGCTGCAATGCAAGGCAGATGATTTTGCCCAAATTAATTATATACAATCTAAATGGCAATTGTAGGTTTTCTTTTTCTCAATAACAGGAATTGTCTAAATTGACTTCTGTAATTCCCAGCTGAGCAACTTAGATTTTTTGAGGCTGGGAGCATGTTTGATTTTATTTTTGCTAAAATTTCATTTGCTCTAAATTATTTGAAAGACAGTACTGATATTCTCTGGGTGTAGACCCTCTAAAGATTCTAAATTTTGGCACAAGTTCCTATAGAAAAATAGGAGAGCAAGAAGGCACAAATTGAAATTGTTTGTGTGAAATTTAATGTGTGATTCTTGTGGGAGCTCAAGAAAAATCCAGCAGATTAAGTTTATTAATGTGTCTACAATACGTTTGCTTTTTGGCCATGATCTGCACGTCCTCCCATTGTAATTTCTTAATCCAGTCATTTTATGGCCTTTCAGGGAATAAATGAGCTTGTTAACATTCTTTGAAGAAGTTTCCCTTCAGGAATTACCACCCAAAACCAAATAGTACACACTAGTATTAATAATAATTCCTTATATATGTATAGAACTTCTAGCATTATTTTTCAAGACTTAAATGTTATATGCAAAATTTAAACAGTAGATTTGGTAAGTCCCAGAAAGTTTGAATGACTTATCAATAAACTGCATTGTTTTCTCTTCCCTGAAACTTTTAATACAAAATGTAGTATTTAGTACTTGATTTCAACCATGGATAACATTAATATATTTAAGGTGTGATTTATTTTTAATGTTTTTCTCTCCACAGATTTCTTACCATTTTGTTAGTGAGCCCTATTTTTATGCGTCTGAGTTATGAATATAATTGGCGATGGGGAATTATTATCACATGGTCTGGAATTAAAGGAGCTTTAAGCTTACTCTTGGCTCCTGATATTTATAATCTGGCTGAACAGAAAGTAGAGGCACCACAAATGGTAGGAAAAATCATGTCTCATGATTATTCTTATTTATACATTTTTACTTATTTTATAACACTTGTCAGAATACTCAATAATAAAATTAACCAGTTTTGAATTAAATTGAAAAAATTCATTCTTTTAAATAGAAAGGAACTCAGAAGAAAGTTTATTTATGTTGATAGTGACCAACAGTCATAAATAAAATAATTTATGTTGACAGTGACCAACAGTCCTGTAGTAGTTATGAACGTGGGTGTTAAATGGACTTGGGTTCCAGTCCCGACTCCACCATTCACAGGCTGGGTGACCATGGGAAAGTGCCCCAGCCTTGCTGAACCTTAATTTCTAGCCGAGGACTGAGACGATACTTAGTAAAATATCTGACACTTAATAAATGCTCAGTAAATATTTTTGAACACACAAATGCTATTTTTCAATAACCATCAGAAAGCATGGAAAAATAATACCCTTATTGACAGCATTTCAATCCCTATGGCTGTTAGAACAAAAACTAAAAATTCTTTTTAAATATACGAGTACTAAGGGAAGAAAGATTTTATAAATTTTTGAATTAAGGACCTAGTTATATTTATGACTTTAGGGCTAGTTTTAAAAAATCAATTTCGTGGAAAATTCTGGCTGAAGACTCCATTACCCATAGTGAGAAACAAAGCTTGGTTTCCTTTCCACTCTTTCTCAAAGCTTTTCCCCCATGGGCTAGCTGGTGGATTTTTGGGCAGTCTGGTAGTGGTGGCACCTGTGGTACTGACACTCCAGGCAAGATCCAAAGAGCCTAGCACATCTGCTGGCAGTGTTAGGGCACCTCATCATTTGTGACAATGCTGTGTGAACTAGCTAGAGAAGTTGCTAGAAATCCCCTGGACCAGCCCCCCACCACTTGCAGATAAACTCCAAACCTGTTCCTGGGAGGGAGAAAACCACCTGAATAATATGAGCTTGAGACCACCTGCCCACCTACCAAGGAATCTGGAGGAAGATGTATAGAGATTCCTGATAGTATCTGATTTCCAGCCCAGGATTTTCTCTTTGCTGCTTTGCTTCTGTCCCAGAAGGCCCAAGAAGTACAGTACTTTTTGAGTACACTCTTTTTGGTGGCAGCTATCAGTTCCTCCATCTTGCATGTGGGGAAATCAAAACAAAGAGCATAGCCTTCTGTAGGTAGCATGATAGGGAAAGAACTTAGGTATCCTAAGTCCCAAAAGAGTTTTTTGATAGAATCTCATATTTTTCACCACATTTTTCCTGAGGATTTATATCTGTGGGCATGGTCTGGAAATTAATTTGAAGTTCATGTAAACCTGTGGTTTTGCAAACTCTGGATCCTTCCATGCTCCAAAGGAAAAGTATAACAACCAACATTTGAGCTCGTTCAATTCTTTTTTATGCAAGGAGTTGGCCTAAAACAACATCAATGATACATTAACTAACATTTGGGTACATTTTACAGTGTTTCTTAATTATGTTTGATGTTAAGAATCCCCTTGGCTCCATCCCAGACCCACAGAATCACAATCAGCAGGGAAAGGGCCTGGGAGTCAGTATGTTTAACAAGTGCTTAGGTGATTGTTGTTATCAGTCAAGTCTGGGAAACATTTTCTGAAGGTGACATTGCTATTAACTCCATTTTTCAGTGAAGGACACTGAGCATCAGAGTGGTTAAGTTAACTGGCCCCAAACCACATGGCTAACATGGCAAAGCCAAGGCCTACAAATGGGGTTGTCTTTCTGCTTCTGCACGGCACCTCTCCAGACCTCACCACAGCTCTTGTCTGCTCCCTCAGAGCCTCTTGTACAGCCGTAGCAGATGCTGGTGGCAAGTGCATGTCCCTGTCCCACCCACGGTCACCACTGCCTGCTGTTGCCTGGGTTTGTCCCCACCCTGCAGGCTCCACAGCCATGTCTGTGATGGCTCCGACCTTGCTGGCTTGGCATGACCTCTGCCAGAATCAGCAACTGTGGAGAGCTCTTTACTCAGTGTCCTTATCCCAGAATCCACATAATCTATTTTTTCCTCATTCAGATTAAAAATTAATTTCTGCCCCAGTATATTATGTTTAAGCACTGTCCACAGAACAGCCCTTTCACCTCAACTTCCTTATCAGAGGCAGGATTCAAAACTGTGGATAAAGATAGAATTTTGTTGGTGGTTAATTGAACAATGGTTACCTTTGGAGAATTTATTTAATATTTTGGTTCTAACTATTCGTGTACTTTGTTTTTAGTTTATATTCTATGTACAAGCAATATCGCTACTGACTATGGGAATAAATTCCTACATGATGACCTGGTCAGCCAGGAGATTAGGTAAAGTATATGTATGATTCATTAATGAACTGGGGAGAATATGTAAACAGGTTATTGTTGGGGTCATGGGGACATTTCTTATGGAGCTCGAGGAATTGTTTTAGAAATCATTCATTTTCATTCATTCATTATATATAGATGCTCTATTAATTGCGACATTGGTTCAGCCAGTTTAACAGAAACTGAACGAACAGAGGCTTAAACAAGACAGAGGGTTCCCTTGCTCCACTGAAAAGTCCAGAAGAGTGCGATGATTCTGTTCCACAAGGTTGTCCAGAGATCCAGGTTCCTTTTCTTTTGTTGTTCCTCCACTTTGTAGGAGTGGAGAGTTTTTGTTGCTCTTTTCTGTAGGGTAGAAGCCTGCTCACTACCACCATGTCTGCAATCCAACCAACTAGAAAAGGGAAATAGGGGGAGGGAAATGGTGTGTATGTGTATGTGTGTGTGTGTGTGTGTGTGTGTGTGTACATATATATATATCATTACTTCTCACATTTCATTGGCCAGAACTTAGTCACATGGGCAGGAGAAGCTGGGAAATATCTTTTTCTGGCAGGCCATGTGCTCAACCAAAACTCAGAGATTCTATTGGTGGAAGGAGGAAGGGAAGAATGGATATTGGGAGACAATCAGCAGGCTCTGCCAGCATTGCCTATTTGTAAAAGGAATTTGAAGCTGTTCATCATAAAATGCATAAATACAATAAAATCACAAATGGACACACTGTAAAAAATTCAAAAGGAATTTGAGACTGTTTATAATAAAAATGCATAAATATGATAAAATCGCAAATAAACACATTCAGTATAGAAATCCAAGATAAGGTAATCAGTGGCAGTGGAGTCAAGGGGAGACGGGGAAGCTGGGGTGGGATTATTTCCTTAGTAGTGCCTTTGTGTAGTCCGATACGACATGCGGCTTGGTCCTCAGCTTTGCTGTTATAGAAACCTGATTTAGGGTATCTAGAATTATCAGATTACTGGAGATTCATATATACCACACTCACATATTCATGGATAAACCAGAAAATCAATTTACTAGTTTATAATGAGGATGATTTCTTTCTATGTCTGAAATACTTGTGATCGTTCACCTCTGAATATCATTTTCCTTGATAAACTGAATTAGTAATCTGAGGGTTTCTTGGAGAGTATAGAACTAATGAGAGCAAAGGAAGGATAAAAGGTTGAAGGAGGGTTCTTCTAAATAGGAAAATACCCTGATGAATTTACCCTGCCCTACCCATAAGAGACGTCGCTGCTCTGCTTGTGCTTGTATCTTTTCAGACAGTTCTGTCAATTCCTGGAACTGTGCCCGTAAACACTATTGCAAAACTTCCCGTGACAACCCACCTCAAAGCCAAAGCCTCCAATATGTGAATGGGGCTAGTAAATGGGGCGGAGTTTTGGAAGCTCTCCTTTTCCCCAAGTTATGGGTTTGTTCTCATTTGCAGTGAAAATGTGTGCTTGGATCAGCAAAAGCCTACACTGGTGCACGAGTGCAGTTGGTTAGATCCCGGAAGGTTTGCTCACACCTTCATTCCCACTAATTTCCTTTGACTCCTAGGGATTCAGACCCACTCTGCTCTCTTTGCTTAGGATATAGTATCTGGGTTTCTTTCATGATTCCTTTCTTGTGGTTCCTCCTATTCTGATACTCAAAGGTGAGATCAACAAGGGGTTTTACTGTCGTGGTAGTGCTTCCTCCCAGCCAATAAATAAAACTTTTTGTTGTATTAACTAAACTTCAGAATTTTCTTTAATTCATTATGGAACAAAGATTCTTTGGCAAGTACTTTATCCTCTCAAAATCAGTGCTCATCCTTTATAGAAATACTATGAGGAACACATTTAACAGATACTTGACAAAATTGGGTTTTATCCATAAGAGTTTCAAACCAACTCCTTCCATCTGGTCTAATGCTTTTAAGAGGTCCCTCCTCCTAGTCTTCCAGGATTATCTTAAACCCTGGGAGTTCATTCAGATGTATTGGTGCCACCAAGTGGCCCACCTACCTTCATGTTTCCTCTGAGCAACTGGAAAGTGGCTGTTGCCCTATAATATGGGTAGGATCTAATTGGGCAAATGAATAAATTTTCTCTTCGTGTGGCTTCAATCATGGGAATTTTAAACCTGCAGCTGACAAATGCTAACTCTTCAGCATGCATTCAAATGCATCTTTGCTCTGGGTTATAGTGAACTGATCCTGATACTTGAAAAAGATATACCTCAAGACCTTTCTGAATCCTCAAAATTTCAAATACCACCATTGCACCCAGTGTTCTGTAGAGAATGCAATAAAGTTAGACAAACATTTAGAAACCATTTCAACCCTATGAGACATTTCATATGCAATTACAAAGAACAGCTTTGCTGAAATGGAATTGTGAGGGAATAGGTTCAGCTATTCACTAGTGTAGTTCTTCTATTTGGTAAGCAAGCCTCATAGCTATACCTTCAAATTCATACCTCAAGAAAATACAAAGTTCCACAAGTTTTGGACATATAAATCTGTACAGGACATAGAGATGTTAAATTTGAGGGATCTCTATTGCATGACCTTTAAATTTTATTATGTATTAGAACAGTAGGAGAACTTGCTAAAGTTTGAATTCCCAGGACAATCTGATTCTGTAGATATGGGGTGGAGCCCAGGAATTTGCATAGTTTAATAAGCAGACTTTCTACCTGTAGAAGACACAGGTAGTTTTCTACACTTTGAGAAATACTGATTGGGTGCCTTAAAGTAATAAGTCATGTCTTTAGTTATAGAGTAAGAAAGGAAACTAATAAACATTCTTTAGCAGTTGAGTCAGAAAAAGTTGAGCTATACAGCCCAAAGGAAACAAATATGTTTAGCAATTTTCTGGAAAATTTTGGATAAAAATTGTCCTTGCTTTATGCACTCAGATTTGGCTATGTAGGTGATCTCAAGATTTCGCTGCATATTTCTGCAACACTTTTTGCTTTACCTTGCAGTCTTCACTGTACTGTATTAAGGCCCTTTCTTTTTCTTTGTCACAGGTTTGTGTACTATTTCCCTCCCAAGACAAATGGCCATGGAAAATGTCATTCAGCACATACAGGACACAATACAGAACACAATCACTTTACTTAAAACAGAAAAAATTTTGACAAATGTTAATTGGAATTTAGTAGAAGAAAAAGCGAAGATTGAATACATTATTCCTGTGAGTTGATACTTGGCAAAAAACAGTCTTCCTTTCCCTCCCTTGGTCTGCCTCTCTTGCTTTAGACTATTATAAAAAACCTGATTTTGCTAACTAAATGTCAGCAAACTGAGGGGAGATACACACTAGTTTTGTTTTCTTGATAGTATGACTTCTTTGAATTCTGTCTACAAAGAGTTGTTCTTGGTAATCCAGCCTATTTGCCAGATACCAGGAAAATGGATGTTTTTACAATACTGGCTGGTTGAGTACCAGTCAATGGACTACACCAAGATGATGTTTCCAGTGGGTTGAGGTTCTGGGAGATCTCTCCCTGTATATGCATTGTAAAAAGCAGAAAACACAGGCTGCTTCAGAAAGCAGTCAAGCATAGACAGGTTTGGAGAAGAATTTCGCCTCTAAACCTCCCCCAAATGAATATTTACTTCACCACAATCGAAAACACCACTTCTTATATGGAAAAACATTACCCAAGTTATACATAGCTATAAAATTCATATACATAGACTTTTAGCAATTCTGACTTGAGTTATTGGCATCTTTGTTGGGTGTAGTATTTGCCAGCTCCTAATTATTTTTACTTATTTTAAACTTTCTTTATGTTTTAAAACTTAGTCTGATACCGTTAAGTTTTCCCCCATTTCACATGATGGAGACGAGGAGGAGGAGCCCCCAACAGAAGAAGTTTTAACAGAAGAAGCCAGATTGCACGTAGCTGTAATACAAATGGTTGGTATTGTTCATATAATCTGCTTTCAAAATTTTTTTTCTTTCAATGCCTTTAATCCTTACATATGGTTTCCAGGTGACAAGAAAAAATTTTTTTCACCTTCTGATAGCCTATTGGTTGTTAAAATTAATGTTTGATTTACTAAAGTTAAAAAAAAATTAAAAAAATCCTTTCTTAGGCTTTGAGTTCAAGACACAAACTTATTGCTCTGTTTATAAGTCTAGCAAATTTTAGCAGTCACTTTTGAGCATCCTTAGAATAATATTTGGTACAATTCACATACTTAGATGATTATACATTTAAAACTATTTAAAACTGCTTTTATAAAATTAAAATTTATAAAAATTTTACATATCTGAGTTCCTTTTATATAAAATTCTCTCAAGTGCTTTTTTAACCCTTAGAAATATAATAAGTAAAAAATTCTCTTAAAACGTTATAATACTAATATTTAAATGTTCTTATTAGGTAAAATCAAGCTTAAATCAACTTACCAACTTTCACATTTTAAATTGGGGTCATAATCAAATAGGACATATTTACTTCAGCATAACACTATATATAATACTCATTATGCCCAGAGTTCCCTTTTACTTCCTTTTTTTTTTCTTCCAAATTTTATTTTATTTTGTCAATATGCAGTGTGGTTGATTATTGTGGCCAGTTACCGAAACCTCCCTCCCTCTTCCCCCGCCCCCAACAACCTCATCTCTGTTCACTTGTCGTATCAACTTCAAGGAATTGTAATTGTTGTGTCTTCTTCCCTCCCCCCCCCCTGGTTTTTTTGTGTATTTATTTATTTATTTTTAGCTCCCACAAATAAGTGAGAACATGTGATATTTCTCTTTCTGTGCCTGACTCGTTTCACTTAATATAATTCTCTCTAGGTCCATCCATGTCGTTGCAAATGGCAGTATTTCATTCTTTTTTATAGCAGAGTAGTATTCCATTGTGTAGATATACCACAATTTCCATATCCACTCATCCAATGATGGACATTTGGGCTGGTTCCAACTCTTAGCTATTTTAAAGAGTGCTGCAATGAACATTGGAGAACAGGTACACCTTCGACTTGATGGTTTCCATTCCTCTGGAATCACTGGGTCATATGGTAGCCATGTCATTGCAAATGGCAGTATTTCATTCTTTTTTATAGCAGAGTAGTATTCCATTGTGTAGATATACCACATTTTCCATATCCACTCATCTGATGATGGACATTTGGGCTGGTTCCAACTCTTAGCTATTGTAAATAGAGCTGCAATAAACACTGGAGTACAGGTATCCCTTCCCCATGATGATTTCCATTCCTTTTACTTTCTTTTTAAAACTTATTGTCATGAAGAATTCCTAACATACATAAAAGTAGATAGAGTAGTGTAATGAACCCCATGTACCCATCACCCTGCCTTAAAAACCATCCACACATGACCAATCCTGCCCTACCCACACCCTTATTCATTCTCCCACCTTCCTTATTATTTTGAATCAAATCCTAGATGTTATATCATGTCATCTATAAATATGTCAGAATGTATCTCTAAATTTTAAAGTATTTTTAAAACATAGTAAAATGCTAATTTTCTCCTAGCTATTAATAATAACTACTTAATAACATCAAATAGAGTCAGTGATAAAATTTCTCGTTTTCTCATAAGTGTGATAAATGTTTATTTTTACAGTTTATATTTTCAAGTTGGATTCCAATAGAGTCTACACACTGCAATTAAGTGATGTGTCCTTTAAATCTTTTTTAATCTATAAATTCCTTCTTCTTTCATTTTTTTCTATTGAAGAAGATATTTCTTAATACAGAAATTATTTTCATTCTTTTAAACATTTCTATACTTAATTAAAAATATTCCTAGAGTTTGAAAGGCTCTTACCCACAGAAGTAGATTAAATATGGTCACAACTTTTTTTGCAGAGTTGAGAAACAGGAGTTAGTTTTCAGCCTGGCAAATCATGGCCTCTATATTTTTCCTAAGTTCTTGTAGGCTGAACTTTCTCTGTGATTTATCTGTCTTTCTGTATCTTGTCCTATGGAGCTAAAAACAAAAACAAAAAAACAACACTTTTAATATTCCTAGAATCACTTTTAATATTCCTAGAATATTAGAGGTCTAGAAATCTCCTTAGCAGAGCCGTAAGTTCATTAGGTACATTTTCTACCTTCCAAGTTGCCTCAGGTGACAGCCTTGCCAATGGTGCTGCCTTTTCATAGCGAAGCTCCTCCAGCCCCCTACTGCAATTTCCTCGCTGTTCTTCTAGCTTCCACTGACAGTCTTCTTGCTGCTTTATTAGCCTCTGCCCACCATCCAGTCCCAAAATTAATGCCACATCTTTTAATTTTTGCTATGGAGGCTCTCCACGATTGGGACCGATTTCTGTTTTAGATAGCTTCTGCTGTGTAAGAAAACCACCCCCAAACTTAGTGGCTTAAAACAACAATGGTTTATTATTTCTCATGATTCTGTGGTTTGGCAATCTGGGTAATTCTATTGTGGGTCTCACCTGGCACCACTCATCTGTCTATGGTTGTCTCATAGTTCACTGGGGGTTTGAGGGGCCAGGATGTACTCACTCACAGGTTTGGCAGTTGATGCTAGTGGTCTTTCAATGTGCTTTGGTTCTCCAGTACATGGCCTGTTCTCTTCCAGTAGGCTGGATTAGAATTATGCACAGCAGGGTGGTCTCTGGGTTTCAACACTGCAAGAGGGGAAGCTGCAACACCTCTTCAATTCTAGGCTCTGGAACCTGAACGATGTCACTTTTACCCCCATTCTATTAGTTAAAGCAAAACACAAAACCAGCCCAGATTCAATGAGAGGAGAAGTAGATTTCAGTTCTTTTATTTATTTTTGATTATACATACTTATGGAACATAGGGTTGACTATCAGTATTTGTGTACAGTATGTGATGGTCAAATTAATATTATTAGCATGTTCGTCATTATAAATTGAAATTATTCTTTGTGTCCCTTACCCAGTTATTCCCTAACCCCCCTTCCCCTCCCCCTTTCCCACCTCTAGTAACTATAGGTCTGTTCTCTCCTTCTCAAAGTTCAACATTTTATTGTGGTCTTTCTTTCTTTCTTGATGGGAGGAGCAGCAATGTCAGTTGTAAAGGAGGATGGACACAGGGAGGCATGATACACACTGGGGCCATTGTTATAACGACCTCCCACGTTTACATTCTTTAACCAACAATTCCATGGAGTGACTCGCTCCATGTTATCTTTGAGTGGCTTTCCCAAAACTACCTTCTACTCTGGCATTCTTCCTGCTTTTGTGACTCCTTTCCTTTTCAGTCTCTTCCATGAGCTCCTCTTTTTCATTTCATCTTATTAATGTTGGTGTACCTCAGGACAGTTAACTCTGTCCACTATTCTTACTGTATAGTCTCTTTTTCTTTATTATTAGCTACACTCATGATTTTTTTAAAATTTAATCTAATTTTGTCAATGTGCAATGTGGTCGATTATTGTGGCCCATTACCCAAACCTCCCTCCCGCCTCCCTCTGCCCCCCCCCCCAACAACCTCATATCTGTTCGCTTGTCGTATCAACTTCAAGGAATTGTAATTGTTGTGTCTTCTTCCCTCCCCCCCCGGTTTTTTTGTGTATTTATTTACTTATTTTTAGCTCCCACAAATAAGTGAGAACACGTGATATTTCTCTTTCTGTGCCTGGCTTGTTTCACTTAATATAATTCTCTCTAGGTCCATCCATGTCGTTGCAAATGGCAGTATTTCACTCTTTTTTATAGCAGAGTAGTATTCCATTGTGTAGATATACCACATTTTCTGTATCCACTCATCTAATGATGGACTTTTGGGAGGGTTCCAACTCTTAGCTATTGTA